CCTTTTAAAAATATAGTGAGAAAAAAAAAAAGTTAAGGATTATTTTGTTAATACATTGATTGAAATATATTACTTAAAATATCTTAAAATATTTTGAAATAATTGTACAAATGCATTGAAATATTATAACACATCTTGAAACATTATAAAATATCTCGAAATATTAAAATTTCAATTTTATCACTATTTTTGTTTCGACATTCTTGAAAATGAAAATATTCTAAAACGATATTTGAACCTTTAGAGGAAACGAATGGTCTGGAGAGAAAGAGGGAGGAAATCAAGGAGAGAGATGACTGAGAAGACTAAAAATGAAGTGATAGAAACAGGAGGGATATTATTTCAATGAGAGTAATTTGGAACCGTTAGATTAAATATGAATCATTTATATAGAATAATTTGAACCGTTGATAAATAATTTTGAAAGAGATATTTGTGATCATTGTATCTATCTTTCGCTCATAAATCACAATATCAATTAAGCCTAGAAAACACCAATGAAAGGTCGAACTCCTAACATCTAAGTCTATGATTTATTTAAGTCCAATTCCACACAGTTTCGCTACTAGTGAAATATGAAAATTGTATGATATTATTAGGTATGATTTTAGTCTTAAAGAGTTAAAGTTATAACTAGATGTATCGGTTAATTCCATTTAATAAATGGAGTGATTTAAGTTTTGATGAGTTAAATTATAGCTCGACTATTTTATATTCAAACGAGTCTAGCTTTACAAATTTGAGTCAAGTTTTTTTAGGCTCGTTTTTTTAGCTGAGCCTAAAAAATTATTCAAACCTAAGCTCGTTTAAAATACAAGTCGAGTTTGAGTCAAGTTCAAGTCGAATCTGAGTATCTTGTCTCAATTAACACCCCTACTTTTCTCTACCAAACCATAATTTCTTGTGTAAACTAAATGCCCAAGTTTCGAACATCCCACACTAACCAAAATGGATCAAAATTTCTTTCTTTCTTCCTTTTTCCATTTCTTTTTCCAGCTCCAACACAAAACTCCAACTACATAAGATAGATTTCATTGCATGTAATTAAATGAAGATAAATGAACAACTTAATACACGAGACTCTCATCATTACAAATTTTAGAAAAGATAAAACATGTGCAATGTTATCTTTCATGCGAAGAGATTGTTTTCATGATTCAAATCCTTAACTAAGTCACAATAGATGAATTGCACAAGATAATGTAAGTAAGATCCTATGGTCTCTTCCTAACAAAAATTCGAGCAAGTCCATAGCGTTAATGATTCGTAACACAACTCTAATTCTTCCATTTCTATGATTTTAATCTCTGAAAAACTTCATTAATATACCATCATGGTTCAGTCATCCGCCTAAAATTAAAGTATCTATTATTGTAGCCATCTCAATTTCTCAATGAAAGGAGGACCAAAACCGGAGTAGAGAAAAGAAAAAAGGGGGTTGGTGATTAATCCTATGCTACATGAAATGTTGTTTGTATTTTTTTAAAAATTTTGTGTGTTTTTTTTTTTTTGGAATTTGTTGGGCTTTCTATGTATCAATGGTTGAGATTATCAAGTCTAGTATTTAAGTCTACTTTTTAAATCTGCGTAGCATTGCTCCGGTAGTCTCAATGTAAACCTATCTTCTTCTTCTTCTTTAGTCCTAGCTATTGAATGCCTCGTCGAGTGTGACCTTGAAAATTTTTCTCCCTCATCGTGTCCTTCGACTCGTTCCGCTGTGCTCGGACCTCCGGCTATATCCCTCTTGCCACTGCCTCCTCTTTCGTCTTCATTGTCATCCCTAACATTGATGCTAAAAGTACCTTCCAATGATTCATTTTCATTTATGTATTGCATGGGGTTGGGCCGATTGGTTTCTCATCCATGGTCAGAATCAGAGCCGTTGAGCGAGTCCTGGTGATGAAGATGAGGAGCATTGTCTAGAGATCATAAATTAAAGGGTATATTGTTTTTCAGCCCCGTAGTTTCGACTAGAAGCATCTTACCTATTTGACGTTTAAAATTATGTACATTACCCCTTTATAGTTATGTATCAAAATAAAATCGTTACTTTTATCTTTCAAATTAACAGAGAATGTGCTTCACATGCCTAAAACATCATGTGGGCTTTATTTCCATTGTTTTACTCCAAAAAAAAACATTATTTAAGTGCCTAAAATACCTTTTATAATATATGATATAATATCCAAAAAACTAGGGCATCAATCCCAAATCAAAAAACATTGAAGAAAAACATGAGTAAGTAATTTTCAGTTCCAAATAAAAAGCCCCAGTTGAGGGAGAAGAGACTCGGCATGCTAAAGAGTGGAAGATTTCTGCTTCAGCCTTGGTAGTAATTTTCGTTCATTACATGAGTAAAAGAGTACATCAGACGGATCAATCTAATTTTCCAATATGGGTATTATGATAATTTTATAATTTCGTTAATGGCGGCAATTACTTCACTTTGGTACATCACTATAAAAGGGTAATGTACATAATTTTAAAGTAAAATACTTCTAAATGAAACTACAAGGAGAAAAAAAAACAATTATCCCTAAATTAAATAACATGAGAAGGCCCGAATAACTGTACACCAATTTTTTTTAACAACTCAAACTAAGCGAGATTGTTCGTATTAACATAACTTGACCCAAATAAATTGTAACTGATAATTCAATAATTTTCGTATCTTGAAGTTCTTACAAACTTTGAGGATAGGGTTGGCAGAAGTCATACGGTCTAATCTTGACAGCAGATTCTCATCATGCGATTGAGTTAGGCCAAACTCGACAGATGTGCTCAATAACTGCAGTGTACAAAAGGAAGATTATCTGCAACAAATAACACTCTGCACAACAAACCATCAGCTTTAAGCAGTAAATATGATCCAATGGCACAACAAAAAAATTTAGGACAACAGGCTTTTTATATTTGATAAAACCGGGTTAACTGGCTTTTATATTTGGTAAAACAGAGAGATTGCATAAGCAAAGTGAAGCCTTGAAAACCTGCAAAAGGCTTCAAACTCTACAAGGGAACATGATGTCCAAAAACTTGGAAACAAAAGCCAACTCAAGCTCCACTTAATTCAAATCCTAGTCCTAGAACTACAAAGTTGCCTCTCTTCCACTTGAAGAGGGTATAATTGACTCCTCCCAATTTGTTTCAATGAGTGCAGGCAAGGAATTTCGTGTTCTACTCGATTTCATCGATCCAGTCACCATATATTTTACTAATTTTGTCTGGACCCTTCCACTTCTGATGGGGTCTCTGCCCTACCTTCGGGATTACATTGGACAACCTCTGTGGTGGAACCCCAACATGATAACCGTCTAAGTGAGGAACTGAAATGAGAGGTGGAACTGCATTATCACTTGAAGTTCTTGAAGGCAACATCCCCTGCTTTTGATCCAGAGAAGCAGAAAAATCTTTAACTTCCCCCTCCATTACACCCCCACCATAACGATGCAGTTCTGCAAAATAGCTATCAGATTTCAATATAAACTTTTTTGTTTGATCACATATTTCAATATAAACTTATAGAAACCAAGTTTCAATATCTATCTCATCATATCAGAAAAATCACATTTGAACAAAGGAACAGTCAACTACAGAGTCACAGCTTGAAGCCAAGCTAACCATATAATCTGAAAGAATATAAGAGCTATGTTCTGAAATTCTAAGGCCCAAGGAAATGCATGCACTTGATTGAAACCTTGTGATCTGAACATCAGAAGCATGCAATATATGTATATATATTTCTTCGAAAAGCCAATGAGGCTCAAGCCTTAATTTGAAATCTGCACGTCATTTTGGGCATCCTCATTTGCTACTTCATGAAACATGATTTGAGGGATTCAGGAGCAAGGCACAGTCTTCACAGTTTGTGTGACACCTTGCCTCCTTTTATAAAATGAGAATTATGCACCAAATGGTTATAGAATGACACCACACACATGCACACACATAGTGAGACTCATTCTATAATTAGATCTATCCCTAATTACATCCAAGGATGTAACTGAAAATTCAAGTTACAATGGTTAAGCTGCCTGCCTTGCAATATTTCCAGTATACTATTCGTAACAATAGATCCACTCATGTCATTCATAAAAACTTGTAATTGTTAAATTTAATCCAATCAGCAGTAAGCATAGGCACGAACCTATAACTACAACAAATATATGAAATTTTGGATGATATCACTCTCCAAACTCCAAATGAAGGATGTAGCTACAATTTGTGTATATGCTCTCCACGACATGTGTTCATGCATATAGAAGAAACTAGTAATATTAGATTCAACAAGTTGTGAAAAGGATATTTATATGGTGCAGTCCTTTTGTGTTATGTGCCTTTTCTAGGCATCCATACACCAACACTTGCAAGGAAACTAAAATTAATGAACCCTTAATTGTCCCCACTATGAGATAATGTGTAATGTTGTTGTTCCAAAAGAAATCAAGTAATATTGAGATAATAAGATATAAGCATCTTCAAATCAAGTGTATCTAGTCCTAGGTCACATGCCCAACTTCCTCTGATGTTTAACTGCAAAAGGAAATGGAAAATCATACCTGCAGACCCATGAGCAAAATGACATTTGCTTCCAAATGGGCAATACCCTGTCATATCCCACTTGTTACAAATCCTTGTTTTCCAATTCGAAGGCTTCAGGCTACCGCCGCTGCTACCGCCGCCGACACCACCCATCTGTCCACCACCTGGCCCAGGACCCAAACTTATGGCCACACTCTCCCGTGCTCTCGACTGTTCATCATGGAGGAAAGTGCAATTATCTCCATATGGACAGCCCTCTTCAGTATAGAACTTCTTGCAATGCCTCCCTTTATAAGACCTCTGAGTCTCCCCAATAAAACCAGAAGCAAATGATGGAATCTGGAATTCTTCCCTTGGCTCAGATGACACCCCTCGTTCTTCCTCGTGGGCAGCCACAATTTCTTGCCAATTGGGAGGGGGTCTACGAAGTTCTTCAATACTATGCGCAAAATTACAGTTACTGATATATGGGCAAGTCCCCGCCCGGAATTTGCAGCATAGTTTGGTCTTAAAGAACATCTTTCCTATTACTTTTGATCGATTACTAGACCCCAAATCCCCAGATTGGGAATTTCTTGATTTCTTGTTGGGCGGCTCGCTTCCAGACCGGGATCGGGATTGCCTTCCATCATAATTTGAATTGGAAACAGTATCAACTGATGTCTCCCTATTCCAAGCCCTATAATCATCCTCAGTTGCCCAAACTGCCTGGTCAGTGGACCCTGGATCCCAATTCTCAACACCACCATTCCCAGGGGTTCCAGGAACTATGTGAACCACATTTTCATTCGAAAACCCGGTTTCTCGACCGTAATCCATAACAAGATGAACTCACCAGTCAAGACTTTTTACCAAAGCAAGAAAGATACACAAAGCTGAAGAAAGAAAACCATTGAATACAAAACCCTAACTTGAATTATAGTACTCAGAGTTCACACAAACGACACCCAGAGAAACGATTGTCCAAGTTCGTGTTTTTCGGAGGAACAATGACAACAAAAGAGGCAAAGAAACAAATCATAGAAACCAAACCCTAAGAATCAACTCAACAAATTAGTTATCATACGAACAAGACCCACATACTCTTCAATTCTGATCAATACGATATTAACTCTGAAATCCAAGAAATCTAAAAGATGGGTACTCCATGAAATCAAGAAACTTGAATTCTCATAACTTAAAAAAGCAAAGAGGGAAAAATAACAACTTTGAACACTAAGAAGAACCACCACTACAGCAGATACAAAAGCCCAAACAGATCAAGAAAAGTAAGACCAAAATGGGTAAAGGCTTAGATCGACTAAAACGAGAAAATTTAAATAAGATTCAACAAATCAACAAGAATAAATGAAAAGAGCATACTTCCAAATTGAACAGCAGAACAGGCCCGATGGACTTACAAAGCACACAAGAGAGAGAGAGAGAGATTTTGGTAACTCCCCTGAGGTTTCAGTTACAGTAACTCACTTGCCATAAAAAGGGTACAGTTCTGCAATGAATGAAACCAGGAGAAAAATCAACAATCCTCATTGTCTTTTCTTGAGGAAATTATCTGAACTTGTCAACGGTGTGATTACATGAAAGTGATAAGGTGGCATTAAATTATTGGACTATCAGTAACATGAACTTCTGTTTGTTAATAAATCTTAGTACAGTCTGGTCTATTATGTTCTAACGGGGCCAGAAAATATTTAATGTAAATACCATAAATTGATTAATAAATACATGTAAAAAACTATTAATATTTATAACATTAGATAGAATTCACTTAATCTTGTATGCTTTTTATTTTTATTTTTTTTTGACAGAAACGATAGAATGTATTAATTAGAATCATCTGAATAGAGAATTGGTATCAAAGACTCCAGTATCATATCCTCTCACACATGAAAATGTTCGTAACATCTAGCCATTCTAACAAGATGGTGCGCAACACCATTGCCAGTACATCTAATAGTAGAAGCAAGAAATAAGTAAAAGTATGTATGAGACACTTAATATCTGCTATAATAGATCCTAAAGGAGAAAAATTCTCTTGAGAATCAACTATCATCTTCATCACGAGAGGATGAATTCCCTTCCAGTGTGATCTCCTCACAATCCATCTACCCTAGCAAATAACAAAGCCTCCCTTGCAGCAATAATCTCTGTTGTTTGCACATCATATACCATACTTATCTTCTTCGACATCCCCGCAATAAATAACCCAGAATTATTTTTGATAATAACACCCACTCCCATCGACCATTCAGAATTAAATACTGTCCCATCAAAATTTACCTGAGCTTGGGGGAGACCATCGAACAAGATTTGATACATTGTTTTGCATGAAGTCCACCTCCGTAGCCTTCTCAAACTGGTCAAGATACCCTACTACAGTTTGCACTAGCAACCCCGGGGTCATTCTCCAAGTTTTGGAACAAAAATTCATTCCTATTCCTCCAAATAAACCAATAATGCAACAGAAATAACAAAAATCTTGTATGCTTTCTAAGTTACCGTTATTTTGAATATTTTTCACTACAAAAGAGTAAAAATCTTGTGTTTTTTACTTTACATTTGTGTTTAGTTTGATGGATGCAAGGGGATAACACAATTTAAATTGGGTAAAATTATCTGGAGGCCCATAAAACCTAATTTTGGACACTTGTTATGAAATGAGATAATCGTTGGGCTTAAAAAATGGGACCGTATGCTTTTAGCCCACTTATATCATTAGAACCGATTCCAGTTATCCCACCTAAATTTTGGGATATCTAAATCCATCAATAGGATCGGCGGTATAATTACATAAAAACCCTTCTACAGTAATGCAAAATAGTCTCTCTCACTCTCTCTCCAATCAACCATGGCTGAGCAACCATCAACGGCAAAGACATCCATCGATTTATTACAAGCCGCTGGACTTTATCCAAACCCAAATGGCTCATTCAACCGAATCGAAGCATTTCCAAAGCTCCTTCCAAAGCCGGAAAACACTACCGGTGACGATTCAAAATCAACCCAAATCGCTCTCTCCAAAGACATCCCTCTGAACCCAACAACCAACACCTCCATTCGCATCTTCAAACCTTGTAATCTTCCTCCAAACTCGAAGCTCCCAATCATTATCTACTTCCATGGAGGTGGGTTCATAATCTTCAGTGTCAGTACTACACCCTCACACGAATCATGCAACGCCATGGCATCTCAGTTCCCAGCTCTGATCCTCTCCGTCGAGTACCGTCTTGCACCGGAACATCGCCTTCCGACAGCGTACGATGACACCGTCGAAGCTATCGTGTGGGTCCGAGAACAGGCATTAGGAATCAACAGTTGTGATCCGTGGCTGAAAGATTTGGCCGATTTTTCTAGGGTTTTGTTGATGGGTGGTAGCGCATGTGCTAATATAGTCTACTACGCAGTTGTGCGTGTACCCGATATTGATCTTACGCCGGTGAAAATCAAAGGGTTGATTTTGAACCAACCGTTCTTTGGTGGGGTGAAGATAACTGAATCGGAGACAAGACTTTTCGATGATCAAATCTTACCTCTCTCTGAATGATCTGATATGGTCCATATCGTTGCCCGAGAATTATGATCGTGATCATGATTATTATAACCCATCAATCGCCAGCGAGTCTCAGATGGAGAAGGTCGGAAAATTATGCCGGTGCTTGGTCAGGGCTATGGTGGGGATCCATTTCTTGATAGACAGAGAGAGTTCGTGAAGTTGTTGGAGTCACGTGGTGTGCACGTGGTGACCCGGTTCGAGGATGGAGGCCACCATGGTGTAGAGATCTTTGATCCCAAAAAAGCCCAAGATTTGTATGATGATATGAAGCAATTCATTGAATCAGAGTAATGTTGTTGATACAATTACTAGTTTGGGTAAGAATAATATTATTGTCATACTACGATGAATATCGACCTGCATGATGGATAATTCGAGTGTGTTGATTGACATACATGGTGCAAATGCCTTCTTGGAAGCAAGTGGTGTGGTTTTCACGACTTTTGTACGTACATATTTTAACTATGCGCATGTTTATTATACAGTAAATTTGCGTTTGCTTCAAATTTACACATGTAGGAAGATGATTTTGTTGCACAATTCGCAAGCAAAAAATGACATAGGATTGGACGAGATTCAATGATAAAATAGTTAATTAATGTCAAAATTATGAAATATTTAAAAAAAAATTGTAGTTTGTCCATGGCCCCCACTACATTATAAATCACTAACCAACTTGGGGATTGGATAAACCAATTTGCTTTTATACCATTACAAATCTGGATTATTGGGATTTTATTGAACTGGTTTGAAATTTAAATCCAACCGAGTGCAGTCCATCATTGATTTGCCAAACACCCCCTAGGGGTATAACTTGGGTGACCTAACTCAAACCTAACCCAAAAAAAATATTACTTGTATTGAAGTTTTTAAAATTTCGGGTTCATGGATTCAATTGGAATTTAAAAGAATATATGTATATATATGTGCATGTGTATTTTAATTTTTTATTGAATTTATTTTAAATTTAAGTTGGTCATGTTATTCTGTAATGCTCAAAATTGAATCCAAATTTAACCCAAATTACAAGTCTGATTTGAGTCTGAATTAGTTAACCTGGACGAACCCTAATTTAATTCGAAATTTACTTGGACAATAATTAGTCTAAGTACCTCGAGTTAAAATTTGGGCTCAAATTTGATTAGCAGGAAAAGTTGTATAACTTGAGTTGATTCTAAGTTCATTCTCTGACTCGCTCGAGTTGCGCCCTTTGTTACATCCCTAGTTTGCTTGCTATCTTTGGATTATGTTAGCATCCACATGGACCTGACCCAATGCCACTTGATGTTAGTGGACTTGGATCCAAGTCCATAAGTTCTTGGGTTTTTTAGGTGTAAATACAATTTTTTAAATTTATTTAAAGAAAAATGCTATTAAGTTTAATTTTAATAAAACATATTGTGTTTAGGTGTAAAATTCAAATGAAATCAATTTTTTTTTACTTAAATACTCTCCCTTAAATTATTCATTCTTGATTGATAATTGTGTATCTAATCAAATATGTAAAGATTTTATTAGATATTATCATTCTTTTTTTGAATTTTGAATTGAAATTTTGTATTATCTCTACCTTAACACGTGTTCTTCAATGATTGGGTTCCTTTTTATTTTGTTCAATGTCCGATTTGGTGATTTCACTTCTCCTATTGTGGTATCTTCTTGGTTTATTTTTATTTGTTCCAAAGTCTATTTTTTTTAATCAGTTGATTATTTCTGCAAAAAAAGGAATTGAAAATACTGATCACCATTATTGGCTTGAAGATAAGTTTTTAATAATCAAGTTTTTTCTTCTATTATGCCATTTTTACTGGGAATCACAATTTCGATTTAGTCAAAGTATTTTGTTAGATATTATGTGTTGTTCGTTGTTGGAAAGTTGGGAAAAAAATAATTCATTTGTTTGTTTTAATGGATGTAACTGTTTTTTAATGTGTGTAACTATTTTTTTAATGGGTGTAACAATTACAATCTCATGCAATTGTTAAGGAATGATGTATCTCTAACCGAATAAAGTCCAAAGATGTATGTGGTCTTGTTTTTATGCAAACATGAATTATGTTACAAAAACTTGAATAGAGGTACAACATACAGTTATTTAATAGAGTTACTCAAAACATAACACAATAAAATTTTATAATTTATACTTAATTTATACAGATTATTCAAAATTGCTATTATATTTTTTTATTGAAACAGACAACATCTAAAACTAAACAACTATGTTATGGCATCATGCAGTAGCTATACAATGCATTTATATTAACCTAACCATTATCCCACACGTTGGTAATTGTTTAAATTTTTACAATGTCTTTAAACTACGTTTTCAGGAGCATTATACCTTTTAAGTAACTCAGTTGAATACAGTAACTACATTATATACACAAGTATTATTATGTATCACTGTAGGGTGTAACTCAGTTTCATACTATGAATATGTACATTCACTATACAATTACTTATTATAGTTATTCATATCATATACATATAATTTTGATAAGTAGAAGTCAACTAATTTAGATTGAAGAATTGACTTTTTATTATTTTTCTTTGAACAAAAAATGGGTTGGGATTTTATCAAACAAAAAAAACTGAACTAAAAAAAAAATTAAATAAACAATCTCTTACCTTTGTGCGATTCAAATGAAGATCGTAATTCCAAAACAATTACCAACAACAAAGATAAGAATGAAATCATTTGAATTCTAAGATAATTACTCAACACTGTTAGATCAAAGAAATTTTTTTTAAAAATGTTTAAAATTTGTATTCAAATACCTTCAATTTTCGAATTACTCATTCAATATAAAAGAATTCTACTTTGTGATTTTCATATCTAAAATTAGGGTTTTAAAATTTTGTTTTTTGAATAGAAATTATAGAGTTTTGAAAAAAAATGAAAACTAAATAATAAATTTTATATATAAAACCCAAAGGCAACCTGCATTTTCTAGTGAAGATTTGGCCAGCGATGATGAATAGTTATTGGACAGCAAAACTCCGGAATTCTATACAAAAATTTATCCTATACAAAATTTTATCTTATTTTCAAAATTTCCAAAGAATAAGAGTTATGATAATTATTGCATCTTTAATTACCTCCCCATTACTTCATTGTTGCCAAAGAAGACATTTGTGAGACAAATAGATTTCATCCCTTTCCCTTTTTATAGAATGACATTCTCGTCATTTTTTAAAAAATTACATTTTAGCCCAAATTAGATTTAATATTGTATTTTTGGTCGAGTACATCTTAAAAATTGTATGGACTTCCGTTTTGTCCGATCTTTCTTCTTGGCCCATCCCATCACTCCACGAAGCCTTCAAAGACCGGTGGTGCCACTTAGCCATGTTGATGGATCTAATTTGGTTTAAATTTAAATTCAATTAATTGGATTTTATTGGTTTTTTTTACATTAATTCAAAACTAAATCATAATCCTTGTGTAGCATACTTCATGGATTTCAATTGGCATGTACTAATATCCAACCTGGTCGTTATAAAATAAAGGAAAATTTTGATGCCCGTCTCCTTTTGTCCACTAATTTGAATTTAAGTCCACTCAAAAAATTTGTTGGAGAATAAGTCTATTTTAATATTCATTATCCAAAATACACTAAATAGTTATATTTAATTAAAACAAATTTAAAAACTAACAATTCTTAAATTTTAGTAGTTTTATTGGCATTAAAATTGTTTCAATATATATATATATATTTAAGACATATTTCAATAAGTTTATCCGAAAGTCTCAAATAGATTCATCTAATGACCACTAACATCTCTCTCAAAATTATTCATATTGCATCGTGTCTTTAGGCACGAGTTACTCATAGTATGAGATAAAATAGTAACATTAAAAAAAAAAAGTAACATTCAAACAAAAAATAGTAACGTAAAATATTAATATTTATAACATGCTCAACAAAAACATGGTAACATTATATAGTAACATACTCAACAAAAAAAATAATTATATGAAAAAATTGTACCATCAAAAAAGAGTAGTAACATGCACAATAAAAAAAAAAGTAACATAGGAAATAACATATAAAAAAAAGTGGTAACATAGGAAATAGTAGTAACATAAAAAAATAATAATAATAACATGGTATTGCATGAATTAAAAAAATAATAACATGCTTTGGGGTATTTCGTCGAACACCTTTGGGGCTTTGTGGAGATGTTTTGATATGGGAATGAACTCATAATTTTTTTTAGACACATCAATGTCATCATATTCTATCAAGACATTAACATTTTTTTTTTTCAAAAATAAAGACATCAGCATAATTCCAAAATAAATTTCTTAATAATATATAGGCTTGAAAAAAGATCTACGAAAAATGGAGTCACTAGATATTCCTCTGTTGCATGAAAGTCAACAACAGCATCGGCCAAAACTCCAATGATTATCGTAGATCATCGTCATCCACAGTCGCCGATTCCAGCGTTCATTGGCCAAAAATTTCGGTGTTCGTTGGTCGTCTGTCCGTCATTAAGCACAAAGGGGGGTGGGGGGGGGGGAGGAGGGAGATTAACCAAATTGGGTTCTTTAAATTTGAATTTCAAATTTATGAAAACAAAATTATTGGCATAACTCCATTGATAGTGAATTAAGTGGTAGCAATTCCAAAGTTAAAAAATTAATTTAACGATGTTTTCAAGGATATGTATTTTGGAGTTATTAAAAAGTTTTGGACTTAACTACTTGTTAAAAGATTAAAATAGGACATATTCCCAAATAATTTAAAATGATAGACTTAACTCATCAAAAATCTCCGCATCAACTTGGTCCAACTTTGAGTTTTCTCATTTTTGACTTGATTGTATCTAATTAAACTTGATTATTAAGTTTAGATTGTTACTTAGACTCAACTCAATAGAAACTTACGTACAATGAACTGGTGTTTGGTGATCGAAAATTGGGACAAAAATGAGCGTGTATGTGATTGGTGGAATTACCAAATTGCCCCTCCAAGCACCGCACAAGGAGGAAGCTGGAGGTGGGAGCGGGTGGTGCAAGGGACTCATGCAAGCCTCTAGCTTGCAAGTTTTGTTGATATTTTGTGGATAGGATTATAAAACAATGAGAGGATCAGATTTGAAAAGGGAGAGAAGAGAGGGAAGGAGAGAAGACAGAGATGTAAATAGAAAGTTTTGGGTTTGATTTGGGGCTTGATTCGAGGGGTGGAATCAATATCAAAATCTTCCTTTTGACGATAGAAATTCAGTGGTGAGCTTAAATTTTGAGTTGATTTAGTGTATATGATCGAATTTGAATTTGAAGGTGTAGATGGGTTTTGATTTTTTTTCAAACGAGTAATGTATCTAGCTTACTTTTGTTTCTAGTTAAACACTTGGGTTGTATTCTTGGATGAATTTGGAAATGTTTTGTGGTGGTGAGAAGGCCGGCCGTGGTCCGTGGTGGTAGAATAAGAAACTAGGTTTGAGTTTAGCTTGAAATTTGATCTCTTTCAATTCTTGTTTTAAGTTTCAAAAGGGGTCTTGGTCCTAGCTAATTTGGACCTAAGGAATCCATTTTTGGCCTTGGAATTGAATTAATAGGTCATTTATGGGGTAAAAAATTTCACTTGTGGGTTTGGTTGTTTCTGAAAAATCAAATATTCACTTTACTTTCATTACAAATTCGTGGAGTTTGACGAAACTTTGAAGTGTTTGGTTTGTATGATTTAAAACTAGGAATCAAGGGGAGTTACTGGGCTTTGAAATCTATGGAAAAGGTGAAGTATGGAGTGAGAACGAAGAGGTTAAAGTTAGGTGGTTGGACTGAGTTGTAGAGTTTAGGGCATCAAAGTCAACGACCAAGGGAAGAGGAGAGGAAGAATGGGAGGAGGAAGGGAGACCACTGTCCACCCCGATGGCAACTAAGGGCGCATCTAAGGTTAAAATGACCTCTAGTTGGTGCCAAAATTTTTGTATCGTCCAAAATTTGAGGTTAATTTGATATCCGGATCAATATGTGGTATAAAATATTTGTTTTATTTTCCGAGACAAATTTTGATCTAGTTTTTGGGTTATTTTGGCCAAATACATTTTTTTTTATTTTCAAATAGTTATTTATAGTATGTGTGTGAAATTTCATTGAAAAATAACATCGTTTTATTTTTGCTATTTCAAATCAAAATACCAAAACAGGTAGAGTTTCCTAATTTTAGATCAAACGATATTTTCTGAACTCCTTTTAAACTTATGAAATGCTTAAGTGGCCCTATTGGTTTTCAATCTTGGATACCGAATTGTTACTAGGGAGCATGTCTCTCTCAGGGTGAAAGTTCCTTAAAAGATTGAATTGTATGTTCGTATTGACCCTAAGTGGTCTATTAGAATGATTGTCAACCAGTGCAACACCATGTTGATGTTATGATCGTATTATTGTTTTCAAATTTACCTGTTTTTAGTCATTGTTTTCTACTCTATTACTTATGTATGAAATTAATTGTTTAGATATTGCCCAATTATGTTATTTTCAAATTGGCATGCTTTGGAATTGAGCTACTTTACTGAGCTGTTAATATTGACCCTACATTATTTCTCTTTTTTCATATTAGCAGGTAGCTGAGAAGTTCATGAATGATTGATTTACCAGTTTTTAGGGTTTTCATTCTAAATATTGAATAATGTTGTTAAGACATGTAAATTGTAGTAAGCTTAATGTACATGTGTGAAATGTAACAAGTCTATAACTGAGTCATATCATAACTACGTATATTATGTTATTCTGTTGAGTTTAATAATAAACAATGGTTATGTTTATAGAATTGGTATCATAGTTTACCCATTATTTAAAGACTATATCATTTAGTACCTATGAAGACTATTAGTGTTCTGGATTATATTGAATTGAGTCGGGGTTCTACATTTGCGAGCCTTTGATTCAAACTTTTGTCGAAATCAAACTCTATATCTTAGCAAAGATGGCTAAAACTTAATTTCTAGAACTGAATAATTGCTGTTTTTCTCAACAAAAAATCCTCTGAAAAGTCTAGCCATGAAATCAAATCCTATTTTTTAAAATAAAAAATTGCAAGAAAAAAAGCAGTCAGGGAAAATTACACAAATGCATCAGTTGGGGCCTCGTCCTGCTATAGTCACAGGAGCATATGTAGTAAAAAGAGTCCACAGAATGGCACTAGAGCATGGGTACCAAGCGGTAGTAATTGAGTCTGATGCTAAGTACCTTATGGACTCATTGAGTAAGGGCCCTCAAACTCCTATTAGGGAGATAACATCTATCCAGAAGGATATTTGACAGTACCTCCAGCAAATACCTTTGATCCAGCTGCAGTTCGTGAGGAGATCACAAAATATGGCAGCCCATACACTAGCAACTCAAGCTAGAAAAGGAATATCCCTCCCTCAAGAGTTAGTTAACCCCCCCCTGATTTTCTTATGAATGTACTTAGGAAGGAGGACAGGAATGGTATAGGTTGACATATATATTCAACAAGTTGAAGTATTAATATAGAAGTTATTTTCATGACTAAAAACAAAAATTGTTTATCTTTCAGGTAAGATTATATATAAGAATCTATTCAAGTCGGGTCGAGTCCATGTTTTTGGAATTCTCTAATTCACAAAATAAGTTTAGAAATATAATAAAAAAGGATTTATTTCTGCAATCTGAAAAGGTCAAAATCGTATTATAATCTAAACAAACTTGAAGCTGTGTGAATAATCGTTTAACAACCCCAGACAACACAAATATGTTGGACTAGGCTCAGCCCAGCTCAGGCATTGCCTTAAGTACTTAACCCCTAACTAATCAAATATCATATTTGAATAAGTGAAAGTTTTCCTAAGCATCTTTCATATTTTTCAATCATACTATACAAGTAAACGTGATGTTGTCAAATCTATTTTACTATTAATCGACCATATCATCTGATTTCTTTTTTTCTTTTGTTTTTTTCGATATACAGAGATGTTCGTATTAGTTTACACGTATCTCGACTAATTCCATTACCGGTCCAGTTAAAGACAAATAATCTACGCCGAGACTACGGTATTCATGAGATACAAATTTCTCATTATTTGATCCCAAAATATTACAAAAATTCAAACTTATACGTCCAAATTTACAGTTTATTTTTATTACCAAATGAATTATCTTTGATTCGATTTCACGGTTACATATATTTTCCTAAACCTTCCATGTGGTACTCTTAAATGTTGCTCACCCACCTACAACTTGTTTCTATAGACACGTCAATGCCACAAGTCGTTGACATTCAACGAGAAGACGTGGATGTGCATTGATGAAGCCACTTGATAGGTAAGCCTTTATATACTCTCTTACCCACATATGTGTACAACGTAATAACATTAAGTTCGTTCTAGAAATCTCAGTACAACCACCCACCTCCCTGGGGACCATAACCTTCGGGGTTTTGCTAAGATCACATTAAATACTTTTATACTATCTCCTTTGCACAGAGAACAGACATCTGTCTACGTGTAGACTTTTCAAAGGCCATTCATTCTTGGTGGGGTCTACTTTTGAAATCAACCATTAATTTGTTCAGTTTCTCGTTGCTTATCCTCTGCTGGATCATCCTTGTTTCTTCCTCATAGCTGCAAGTCATACAAAATTAATGGGACTTTATAATACAAAAAATTTTCTAAAATATGTACAGAAGAAGCTCATCGAGTACTCCGAGGTACTACCAAAGATTGTTTAATTGATCAACGACAAACCTTTGATGATGAGTAGAGACAGGTGTCAATATTTGGGCGAGCTTGATGGCATCTTGGGTCCGATTAATCACGTGATTGAAGCACAAGTAACGTCCATAGGCTGATACATCTTCGAAGACGCAAATGTGTGCATCAATAAGGAAATCCAGATCAACGGTCACGAAAACACCATCATCGTACATCTCGGCCGCTCCTTTCAAATACGGGTTTGTCATTGACAAATCGGGACCCACCACCATTCCTGCATTGATACACATCATATTTACCCCCCTGTCCATTGCCAAGGCCCAAGCAGTCTTCTCCGCCAGCGTCTTGGACAGGGCATGCCACAACTGTCCGCACAAAATAGCAAGGATAAAAGTGTAAATTCATAAATTTTGAAGAATAATTTTTTATTTTGTTTGCGTTTAAAAGAAACTCTTTTCACAATTTAAGAATTCACGACACCACAATGTTATTTGGGTAAAAACTAAAAATAAAAAATAAAAAATTGAAGTAAACTTTGGTCTCACTTCATGCTCTATCTTTGAAATTCACGAGAAATAACCGAGTCTCCATATTCTTGACTTAGTTTCATTAAGGGGGCTCACGAGAACGAGGCCACATGAGAGATTTTATAGAAGGTAATCCTTTACTTGGGGGATCCCTGAAAAGAGGTCCTGACATAGACTTGACTTCTACGATCAAAAGTTCTAGACACCTTTGCTCACCTGTCAGTACAAAGAAGGGAGGACCCAGACTACCCTCCATTATGTTAGGTAAACATGATCAAAATAGATTACGCCAACCATGGCGCTCGGCCGTGATTGTTAAACTTATGGGAAAATCTTTTGGTTCCCACTTCCTCTGTTCGCATGTGGATAAACTATGAAAAGCTAGAGGCGAGTATGAGATTATTGACCTTGGGTATTATTATTTTTACGGGTGGTAGTTAACCTTCTTTAGCTTGCAAACAAACTATAAATATAAAAAAATCTATTACTGTAGCAATGTAGTAATTACATGCACTAATTAAGGACGTGTTATAAAATAAATAATTTTTTTTTAAATTAAAAAATTAAATTATCAATTTTATTCTTCATCTCTCTCTCTTTACAAATTATTTTTTGACTCATCAAACGACTTGCTTTCTCAAATTTAAGGTTATTTTTTAATTCCTTGACCCTAAATTAGCTAGACACAACCCTTATTTTGAAGTTTTAACAAGTTTTTTTAAATTTTAATTTTCAAGTTTTCAAATCATAGTGGGTTTCTTCACCACATACACACTTCGGTCATGGTTTTCAAGCATTCAAATACACCATACTACAACCCTATAATACAACCCAAGCCTCAATTGAGAAAAAAAAAAAGGTCGTCTACTATATAACCCATTTAAATTCTATAATCACTTTAAGCTTCAAACACAAATTCGAGCACACAAACATGAAACATTAATCTAATCATACCAATGAAATTCTCATGAAAAAATAAGTTTGACCAGATTGTGTTTATGTATTGTAAGCATCTGAATTAAAAACTCAAATTCTTTCTCTTCTCTTCTTTCTTTCCCCTTCTTCTCCCCCTCCCTTCTTTCATTCTGACTTTTTCCATAGTTTGCAAAGGAATTTGTGGGGTACAGGGATGGGTTGTGACTATGGTGGTAGAAGTGTGCTAGTTGTAAATTTTATTTTTTAAAAATAAGGATTCTATAATGATAACATCATAAAGAAAATTGGATTACAATTAGGAGGTAATTTAATCTTTTTTTATAACTGTTACGTCTATTAACATTTACAGTTTGTTCTCTAAGTTAGAGAGGGGTAAGCAAAATTCGGGAAAAAAAGTGAAATCGAAACTTAGTTGACAAGAGTTTTTTGTTTTCTACCCATGTTATTTTCTCAGATACAGCTGACATCATTATAGAGTTAAGCAGGTTAGGGGAAGGGGGTAGAGTGAATATGGTAGGATCGGATTTGGTTTAAACAACATCATTGAAATTATATATATTCTGACCAGATAACAAAACACCGAAAAATGAGTAGAGAAAAACTAGAAAACTTAAATCTTAAATGATTAGTGAGGTGTGAGGATAAAATTACCTTGAATTTACGACAGATATTGGTGTCACTCCAATGTTTTTCATCTAAATCTGCAGAAGATGACGACGAATTTCGATCGTCTCTCCAAATAACAGCTGTTGTTGAGGATGTGAATACAACCTTGTCTATGGTGTCCGTTTGAGCACATGCTTCCAATACATTGTGTGCTGCCCTAACCTCAACTTCTGCCATTACCTCCTGCTCCAAACAAAGTCATTGTCTTCTATTAGTGATTTCTTTTCTTTTTTTGGTTATTAGTGATTACAGAGAGGAGAATGATAAAGTTCGAACTAACAATGTTAAAATCCAACAGCTGGGACAATGATCATTAGGCTGATGACAAACCTCCTATATTGTATTTTTAGGTTAGGACCTTTCAAGATTATTTTTTTATTGGAGTAAATTACATTTTACCCCCCCCCCCAAAAAAAAAAAACAAAAAAAAAAAACTGTTACCCTTTTTTTAAAGGAAAAACCAGATTTCATTGGATGAATTTCAAAGAATTACAAGAAACAAAAAGATAAACCCAAATTGTTACCTTTGTTTCACTTTGCATTCTCAATGATAAAATTTTTCACATTTTACTTTGAAGTATTAGTTTTATTTTATATCACTCCAATAAATAACGATAAACTTGAAAATTTGTCAAACGAGAGAGGGAAACCCCAACAAAGAGCTTCCCTCTAAGTGTCTAGTACCACTTTATTTTGCGTATTTTGTAACCAAATGGTTGTTGAAAAGAAAAAGAAAGTTGGCCAGAGGAAAAAAAATTGGAAATTAAGAAGGACAAAATCATGAATAAGTGTTTTTCTTGATTTTTGACCTACATATGCGTAATAGACAGTTGTTTATTGGTAGTACAGACCACTTATATGCGCATTTATCATCAAAAAATTGACAGTTGTTATCTATTAGAAAGATATGAAACAAAATTGATACTTTTTGATACAATATGAAAAATTTTATAGTTGAGATTGTAAAGTAAAATAAAGATAATAATTCAAGGAGACAAAGTGTACTTTACCCTTTTTACGGATTAAACTTTTTTTACTCAAATAATGTTGTTGAGACCTAATTTAGACACTAATGTGAGTATCTAATTTATCGTCTTCATTAGATTTTAGAGCGGATCCCCAACAATAAAATTTAGAACCAATCGAATGGTCAATTATTTATTATCAATTTCGATGACTTTATCAATAACTTGCTCAAAATACTTATTGATGTCTATTAAATTCTCTATCGTCGCAACTCGAAAAGAAAGAATAGAATCTTCAAGAGGTAGGTCAATAATAGGGACAAATTATAAACGTAAATGTCCTGAATTTAAATCTTAATAATTCTTTTGTAGTCAGGTCATAAAGAATCTATCTCCTCAACATGAATGACTTACATTTAATCGGATAAAAACAAAATTAGTCGAAAAGAACGTAAATTAACTCGGACACTTTGACGTAAGAGAGAGCAAAGAAGTTAGGAGTCGGCAAACGGCAAGTAATTGCGACCCCAAAAAAGGTTGGGGACCCTAAAAAAGTGGGAATGGACATGCAATTAAGTATAGAAATTAGAACCCTTTCATGGTTTCGTGAACTCCAGCTAACATTATATCGTGACAGGTAACCGTCCAAAACCCAACTTGTTTACTTGAATTGAACCAAAGACTGACTACACTGGAGAAATATTGTTGTTCAATACTAAAAGACTTATTGGTCCACGTTTCATTAGCTAAACTTATGGTACCATTTTTATTTTACTTTTTGGTATTATATCAAATAAAATAAAAAAAAAATTATATTTCATAATATTTTTGATTCCTAAAGTACACTTATTTTGTCGGTCTGATTCTTGTTATATTAATTTTATCAATTTAATCTCTAAAATTATAATTTGTGTCACTTTAGTCACTAATCAGATATTATTATTAAGTTTTTTAACGGAATTAATCATGTGTCATTCTGGTATCATGTGACTAACACATGGTTATTTTGTTAAAAACTTAATGATCTGTTTGTGTAAGAATAATTTCTTAAGGGATTAAATTAAAAAAATAATATATTAGAGATCAAATTGACAAATTGTATATATTTTTGGGGACCCAAAGTGATATATCCCATAAAAAAAATCTTAAAAAATGATAAGTTTGAGTGACCCATAAAAAAAAAAATTAAATCTTATCCAAAAGATAGGATAGGTATCTACAAAAAAATCATAAGTGATATAATATATTTTTGATACTCTACCAAACAAGTCAGCAATAATAAATGGTAACGTGTTAAAGTTATCATTAACATCTGAAACTATGAAAACGAAAGCAGAAAATTTTACAGGGTAAAAAATGTTGATCTGGTTTGGCCTGAAAAAGTGGAGATGGCTTAATTTATGCATATTTTGATCAATTCTCCTTCCTATAAATTATCTACACCGAAATTAAAATATCTTTCGTAACCGATGATTATCTTTCTGGTTGATAAAATAGATATATATCCAAAAAAAAAAAAACAAGAAACTGATAAAAGATGAAAGAACGGACGTACATCATAAACAAGTTGGTCTGGAGGAGGCTCAAATGTGTAAAACAAGCCAGAACAGCCTCTCAGAGCATCAATTATGCTGTGGTAGTCAAGAGGGTCCGAATGAAACATCTTCAGTTTCTTCTTGTCGCATGAAAGTCCGTTCAATGATATCAAGTGATCACCTAAACAAACCCGAAATGAACAATCATTTACTGTAGAAGAAGAAGAAGAGAGAGAGAGAGAGAGAGAGAGAGAGAGCTAACCAGGGTTCTGAACCGCAGCATGAACAGTATAGCCTCTTTGGAGTAGCCGCTCGACTAGGCCTGAGCCTAGGAGCCCTGAGGCGTCCATGACACAAACTGTGCTGGAGTTTTGGTGAAAAGAAGTTGGTGCCATGAGGAGAGAGAGAGAGAGATATACTGTGGTTTGGAGTAGAGAGGATTAGATTGGAGACCATGAGTTTGTATTATAAAGCCTTAAGATGAGCAAACATTCAAAGGGTGCGGCTTGCTAGTTGATAGTTGGGCAGTAGTTGTTGCCAACGGAGAGAGAGAGAGAGAGAGAGAGAGAGAGTGGGGTTCCATCAATACTTTGGTAAGATTTGTGGTGTTAATAACCCCGGGACACACAGACCGAAAAAAGACACGTGAATGAAGGGACAAGGGGTTGGTTCATCCACGAATTTCTTGTATATCGGGCAGTTTAAGTTGATTTTTTGGAATGTGAAAAAGAAGTTCAAATTGTGAAATAAAAAAATTAAAGTTAAAAAAAAAATTAAATTATTTAGAATGTTTTTGAAAAAGTTTTTTTTTTAAAGTTCTTGGATGAGTTTTATTTTTTTAATTTTTTTTGTGCTAATAAAAGTTAATTTTTATCTAAAACAATTGATGAAAAAATTATCAAATAAGATCAAGACCATATGTACCAGACTTCTTTTCTTCTAAATCCTCCAAGTACAGAAATTTTCAATCACCTCCGAATAGGCCCATTGCATATGAATGTGATTTTGTTGTTTGATATATGAGTTCAAATATTTTGATTTGGGTTGAAAATAGTAAAATGATGCTTGCAAATATTGTTTAGAAATAAACAAATTGTTGAGGCTTTAGTTTTGTGGCTCCAATCTCACCTTTTGAGCTAATAAATTAGGGTAAAATATACGGACATCCTTGAGTTTTGACAATATTATATGGACATCCTCTAATATTTTACAAATAACAAAGTGACCATCTGAGATTTGAAATGCATTGTACATAGATCCATTTCGTCTCCTTTTTGTCAATGTTATTAATAAAAAGTGATGATTTCATCTCCAATTTTTTTATTGTTTTCACAATTACCCTTCTCCAAATTTAGTATCCAAAAAATTAATATAATTTAGTACTTCAATATTTTGATTAAATGAATTTTAATATTAATTTGATAACAATAAAAATTAATTTGTATTAATTCGACAAAGTTGAATACAAATTGGACAAAATTATATATTAATGTGATAAAATTATATATTAATTTACAATCTAAGATTCATTTTGTATTAAATATTTTTTAGTGTTGATTAAACCAATACAAAATTGATCTTAAATTATAGATTTATATTTTTTTAAATATTTTTTTGTTGCATTGCGTCTTCCCTCCTACTATATCACTTAATAAACTTTATTTGGTCAAGATTTAATCATGCATACTTAAACCAAATCAATCGTTAACCCCCACTTTTTTTTATTTAAAGAGAATCGCTCGCCTATGCTTGGTAAACTCAAAAACATCTGGTCCATGTGAAAATAGGTTAAAATAATTTAAAAAGTTGATTTGAAAACTGAAAAATTGATAGTCTAAATTTAAAAAAAAAAATTAGTACCAAAAAAATTGATAATATTGTCAAAAATATAATCTAAGGTCATTTTTGTGTTTATTTGACCAATAACAAATAATATTTAGTACATTAGATTATAAAATAATATTTAATTTTGTCAAATTAATACTCAACTTTGTCAAATTAATTTTTATTATTATCAAATTAATATTAAAATTCATTTAATCAATTTTTTGGGTACTAAATTATACCACTTTTTTGGATACTAAATCAAATTTTGTTTGATTTTATTAAACATTTTATCTTATTTTATTTTTTTGGAGACTAAATTTAGCGAAGTGCAATTATAAAAATAATAATTTTTTGAGATAAAATCATCACTTTCTGTTGACAATATTGACAAAAGAGAGACGAAAGAGATCTAAGCGCGCGCGCGCGCGGGGGGGTGTGTTAGAACCCTTGGGAGGTCTTGTACAACTATTTAGGAGATTTATTTAATGGTCATTGATCCCATAACCTTTTTGTTTATAATTATAATCTGATCAGTTCTTTAAAATCCGAGTTTGGACTTTTGATTATGACTAATGGACTTTGACTGTGGTACCGAGAAATAAAACTTTGGAATTATACCTCCCTTTACTATATTTTTAGTTATTTTTATTATATTTATGAGTATTTTTATCAGTACCTAAAAAAATGATAAAAATATGTATCATAATAGTGATAAAAACACCCACAAAGGAGATAATTTTTTTATATGAAAAAAATAGCTACCACAAATATGATAAAAATACTCACAATAGTGATAAAAACGTCTACAATAGTTATAAATTACCCATAAAAATAATAATTTTTTTGATTATAAAATGACCTAAAAAAATTATAAAAAAAACTCTTTAAGATAATAAATTTTGTAGATGCCGTATCGATTGTTTTTTCAATGTTGTAGTCAAATCCATGACTAATTAACAGATCGACGTTTTGTCCTGTATCATTAATTGTAGGTCATCTATATGCTTGATTGATCATTGACATGTTTAGAACAATTAGGTGGACGATGGATCAAGGTGATGAATTCCTTTCTTTGTGTGTTTGGTGGACAGTTTTTTCGCCGGTTATAAAGTTGAATACACGAAACCTTCTCATCTTTGGTTCATGGGTTTTGGTGGGATTTATAAGATGGATTTTGTCAAAAAATAGTTCAATGTATGATCCTATTTTTTATTTGATTATAGATTTCAAACTCGAGATTTGAATCTTGACTCATAATAAGTCCACAAGTAAAACTCATGTATAAGAATTTCAACAAATCCATGAGGTTCCGTAACAAATATTTGATGATATTTGTGATTAATCTGTAAGTCTCATATGTATTTATGTCACATGCCAAACGTGAGATTAAAAATTGTATATTATTCATCCCATAAACAAAACTTAAGCGTTGAGTTTTAAAGAATTTCATAAATTCAATGCAATCTCAATCTTAAAAATCATCGAATCAGCCCAAATGTCATGCTCACAGTTTTAGGACTCAATTCGGCACGGGTATGCGGTTGTTTGTCAACTTAATTTTTTTTTTTTTTTTTGTTTTACCAAGAAATAAAGAGTCTGCTTGGATTGTGTCTCCAAAACAGTTTTCTATTCTCAAAATTTTAAAAAAAAGGAAGATGTTGTATGATTAGCTTTTTTGTTCTCCAATTTTTTGAAAATTTTGGGAATTGAAGTGTGATTTTAAAAAACAACATAATGGTGTTTTCGGTATTTTCTAAGTTAAAATGAAAACACAAAAAATAGGATGCATCTCCGAATTAATGAGGTCTCCACTTCGAGATTTGTTGGAGACAACAAATGGTCACTGTGAACTTCTTCTTCTCCACACACACAATTAGATATACACTGAAATGGGGCTATGTAGAGCTTCTTTCACAAGCAGAGATACACTAGGTGCAAGTAGTTTTGTCTGACCATTTATGCTCTCTCTTTTTGCATGTCGTGGGTTATAATTTCAATTGGCATTTTGTTAATGAATTTATACTTTTTTTGGTTTTTTTTATGTTCTCCCAATTTTGTACTTTAACGGCATGTTTGACCTATGAAATCTGCATCTTCATTTGGGTATTTTCTGAATTTGACATGAATCTAAAATGTTGCCAGGTTTATATGTTGTGCTTACAATGTTTACCGGCTATTTGGTTGGATATGCTGCATTCAGAGCATTGTTTGGCCACGGTCCTATTATGGTGACCTCCGGAGTGGCTGTTATAATTCTTTATCACTTTTCCCCTGCTGAGAACCACACCCTGAGCCCACCCCACAAAAAATAAGAATTCCCACACACAAAACTCTCTCCTCCTACAAAACTAACTCTTTTGGTTCATCTGCTAGTACCGTAATTAGTGTCTGTTTACAAAATTTCAGAGTACTGCTGGGGGAATCCTTGGGTTAGTTTGTGGCATGCTTGTAGAAATGCTTCTTTTTATTGTTAGAACTTCCAGTCAAGATTTGGGACCCAAGTCTTCTGCTTCCAAGCTAAAGAAGGATCAATAAACTTGGTCTTGAGAGGTTGGTCCTATTCTTTTTGACTTATATAGTTCTATAATCTATTCATGCGATTGTTCAAGTGATTTCATTTAAATTTAGTGCCAACTGCATTTTGGCTCTTTATTCAGATGTTGGTGAACTTTCTTTTTTTGCTAAGTTCATTTGCCAACTGTATGAACGGGGACACATTCTTTGAGAGAGCCAGCGAGTAGCGTCTAATTGTTGATTGTTGGCCGGAATTCCTAGTGTTCATGTTTTTCTTATTCCACAGGCTGTAGCAGTGGGAACATTATAAATCATTCCTTCCAAGTAACTCATGGTTCAAAGAATTGGCTGGCAAATCCAATTCTGCCATTTCTGCTCTGAGAACTTTACATGTTGTGCCTATAATTTTTGTGAGGTCGGGCTTCTCGATCTCCTTTGAGGTGTCCAACCCAGTAGGCTGGGCTGAAGAACTTTTCGGTGATGGATTCTTTTAGTGAAATGGAATTGGGTTGAAGCCTGCTTCTGGATTTGGGTTCGTGGTAGCAAAACCATCCATTTTGGGCCACTGGCAGGACAAAACAGAAGTTATTATCTGGGCTTTCGGTTAGGTACTTTCTTTCTTGGGTTTTAAAGGGGTCGGTATTCTTTTTGAAATTATAGGGCATAAAGTATTACTTTTAAAAATATAGGTCAAAAAACATACAACTCCTAACAAATCTCTGAAATACCCTCTTCAGTAGAATGAGAATCGATTCCTATATTTTTGTTTCTATAACCGAATCTTAAAGAATCTCAACTGTTACACATAAATCCCTTCGATATTGTCAGAAACTCCATTCTTCCAAAAACTTCCATAAAACCTCCTTTTTGATTTTCAAAACTTCTTGTTGATCGTTGCTAAAGAAAGGATCTTTTCAAAATTTCACTATCCAAATTTTCACCTTTGTCTGCAACATAAAGACACCAACAAACCACAACCCAAATTTAAGGAAAGGAGTTCTAGAAAATTTACCAACATTGTCGTCGATAACTCTGACGGACTGGGAAATTTCAGAGATCCGAAAGCCATGAGTTTCTAACACTTTTAGCTCTTTACTGGAGAATTGGTCGGAGAAAAAATTAGGACTTTGTTTAGGTGGGATTTCACTGGGATTAATTATGTTTGCTGGGGGGGATTGAGAGAGGGTTTTGTTATGATTTTGAGGATTTTGGGCAGAGATAGTTTTTTCTC